GTATTTTTTTAAAATTGAGGATTAAAAAATATATAAAATAATTTAAGAATTAAAATTATTTAAAATTAAAAGTCTAAGAATGAAAATTGACATTTCATAAAAAAAGATGTCATTTTAGATTGAGTTAACCGTCCACATGTGATTTAATTGATGCAAGGGAAAAAATATGCATTTTTTTTTAATTGAGGATTAAAAAATATATAAAATAATTTAAAAATTAAAATTATTTAAAATTAAAAGTTTAAGAATGAAAATTGACATTTAACATTTTAAACTTAACGGAGGAAACGGCTTGATTACGTCAGCCGCTAGAAAAAGGGCTATTTGCACAGGTTAGAGGGCGTATTTTGCGGCCAAAAAAAAGTAGAGGGATTGATATGCCACACCTTTACTAGTAGAGGGGCTAATTTGCCCTGCCAAAAAAAAGGGGTTTCTTAGAAAATGTTAACCTTAGAAAAAGCAGGTTGATTTATAGCCCCCCATCCACATGGGTAAAAGAAAGTTTTTTCGACAAAGGGTAAAAGAAAGTTTTATCGGCAAAAGTAGTTGAAAGATTACATTTTTATTTATGTAATGCCTAGAAAATCTCTTTTTTTTTTTTTTTTTTTAGAAATGGGACTTATATTAAAGGAGAAACAGTTCAACACATACGGGGAAATTCAACCCCCATCATATCAGCAATACAATACTGATTTACAGACGGTGGAATGACTTCAAAAATAACAAAATCACAGTCAATAACATGTCCTTGCTTCGCCATCTGGTCAGCAGCCATGTTCGACTCACGGACGATGTGCTTGAGTTCCACCTTGGGAATTTGTTGGATTAACTCCCTGCAGTCAAAGATTAAGGAACTCAGATTATGAGAAGCAGGAGGGGGCTCGTGCAGGAGCTGGATAGCAACAAAAGAGTCCGATTCAACAATAATATGAAAAAATTTGTGCATGATGGCCAGTTGTAATCCGTCTCTAATGGCCCAAAGTTCTGCTGCGAGGCTGTTAGACCATCCAATTTTTCTAGCATAGCCCAGTTTCCAGTTACCTTGGCAGTCCCGAAAAATACCCCCTGCAGCTGAAATGCCTGGATTGCCTTTAGCTGACCCATCCGTGTTAAGTTTGATGACATTTGAGGGAGGTTTGTCCCATTTAAAGTACTCCTCTTGATAAATACGATTGTCCTTAGGAGTAACAGAGGCCCAAAATTCTGCAGCTTTTTCAACAATAATACTTCGAAAGTTATTTATCTGGTATGGGTGGGGGGAGTGAACAATATGATTTCGTTGGAGCCAAATTCCCCAAATGGCAAAGCAAAATAAGATGTTCCAGGGGATGTTCAAAACATGCGTCCTAACCTTGCAATGCGCATTAAATTTCAGCCCGGAGACAAAGTCAAGCTCTTGTTGTTGCTGGGATGAGATATTGGGAAATAACTCATGAAGGATATCAGTAGATGAAGGACATATCCGGATAAGATGTTCCACAGTTTCCTCATCAACATGACAACGAGGACAATTAGCAGTAGTTGAAATATTTAAATGATGCAAGAAACTGAAGCATTTAAGCCTTTGGTGAGCCAATAACCAAAAGAAATGTTGGATTTTCGGGATGGTTGGAAGCTTCCATATCCAATCCCAATCAGTATCAGTAGAGGTAGGAGGAGTTTTAAGGATGTAATAAGCAGAAGCCGAACTGAATTCACCTTTGGCAGTTCCCTTCCAAGCAAAAGAATCCTCTCTACTGTTAAAAATAGATCGAGGAATCGCTTTAAGTCTATTGAAGATATAATCAGGGAGAGAATAAGATATAAGATCAGGGGCATGATTCCCAGCACTAAAAAAGTCCAAGACGGTGATAGCTTTGAAGTCTGGATAGTGGGGACCATACACAATAGAGGCAAGGGGTGTCTCAGTAACCCAACAATCAGTCCAAAAGGAGATATTGGTTCCTGTATGAGGCACCCATTTCAAACCAAGGTTGAAAAGATCAAAGCCCTTAGTTATAGCTTTCCAAATAGGAGATCCTGTACCAGATGGCCTAGTATGACAGTCATGAATATTATATTTCCTTCTAAACATGTCAGTCCAGATTTTATCCTTTTCCTGGTGAAGTCTCCAATTTAGCTTGCACATGGCAACAAGATTAGTTTCTCTAGCACTTTTCAAGCCAAGTCCACCCAAATGTTTTGGGCTAGAAACAATGTTCCAATTAACAAGATGAATCCTCCTTTGCTCAACCTCTGATCCCCAAATAAAATTACGAGAAATCTGATCAATTTCTCTGTGAACAGAGGCTGGTAGCAGAGAAGATTGCATATAGTAGTTCGGAACAGTTGCCAGAACTGACTTAGCAAGTGTTGTTCTTCCTGCAAAAGACAGAAATTTGGACTTCCATCCAGAAAGTTTATTACGGACTCTATCAATAATAAACTGGCAATTGCTATGGTTAAGTTTCTTGGCTGAAATAGGGACACCAAGGTATTTACCCAAGTCCTCAGTTTGGGAATATCCAAGAATGGAGCAAAGATTGTCTCTGGTGGCTTGGTCAACATTCTTAGAAAAAAGCACCTTGGATTTAAGATTGTTAATCTTTTGGCCCGACCTTTCACAAAAGAATTGTAGAACTTTTTGTAGGTGGAGACAGTTGGATACCGTAGCCTTTCCAATAAAGATGATATCATCAGCAAAGAAAATATGAGAAAGAAAGGGACCACTTCTCCCAACTTTAGTGCCCTTCCAAACCCCAGCATCCATATCTGCAGAAATTCTTAGAGAAAGGTACTCCATACAGAGAATAAAGATGTAAGGTGAAAGAGGGTCACCTTGACGAATACCTCAGGATGGACAAAATTCTTCTGTTTTGCCCCCATTAATGAGGATGGATATTGACGTAGAACTAACGACAGACATGATAAGTTTGATAATATCAGGAGGGAACTGAAAAAATAAGAGGGTCTCATAAATAAAGCTCCACTCAAGCCTATCATAAGCTTTTTCAAGATCGAGCTTACAAATCATGTCGCCTGTTTTCCCAGATTTTTTTGAAAATGAGTAAACAAGTTCTTGGAGAATCACGACATTATCTGTACCTTGCCTGCCAGGGATGAAACTAGATTGGCATGGAGAGATAATCTTGTCCATCCAAGGCTTGATCCTATGCACCAACATCTTAGATATGATCTTGTAAACAGTGTTACACAAGCTTATGGGTCTGAATTGGTGAATGTGCTCAGAAGATTTAAGTTTAGGAATAAGGACAAGAGAGCACTCATTCCATTTGGAGGGGAAGTGCCCATCCTGAAAGATATTTCTGATTTCAGCACTGATTTTCCCCCCAATCAGAGGCCACATGCGTTTGTAAAAGAAAGGATGAGTGCCATCAGGGCCCGGAGCCTTAAAAGATTTCAAAGAATTGACAGCATCCCAAATCTCCTTATCACTTGGGCAACCTTTAATGGAATCAAGGCTATAGGAAGTTTGAGCTTGGTGATCAATAGAATGATATGAGTCAAAAAATGAGCGGCTATGAGATGTGGTAAATAGCTCCGAGAAGAAACTAATGGCAATTGAAGCTATTCCACTGCTATCGGAAATCCAGTTGCCTTGGTCATTAAACAAGCCAAATATCCTATTTTGAGCTCGATGTTTCAAAGTGGTCACATGGAAAAACCTGGTGTTCCTATCACCATCAGTAATCCAGTCGGCGCGAGATTTCAAGAACCAGAGATCAGCCTCCCAATTGAGAATGTCATTATACTCTTGGAGGAGATCCTTTTCTAGACTCCAAAGAAAAGAAGAAAAATTATAAGCAGGAGACATTTGAATACCTTCAATACGGCTAAGGAGTTTCTTCTTCTTTTTGAAGATATTCCCAAAAGTTGCTTGGCTCCATGCTTTGGCCCGATTCATAGTAAGATCTAAACATTTAGCAGTATTGAGGTTATTATCAACCCATACCTGATGGACGATGTCTTGGAAATCAGGATGCTCAATCCAAAATTTTTCAAGCTTGGGAGGACGACACCCCGAGCGAGGGTAGAGGGGGTTAAGGTCAAGTAAAATAGGGCAATGATCGGAGTGGGTACGGGGGAGGTGAAAAAGGGACGCTTAAGGAAAGTGAAGCTTCCACTCAGGATTGGCCCAAGCTCTGTCAAGTCTTTCTCTAATCAGCTGGTTAGAGAAACGCATGTTGACCCATGTAAAACGATTTCCAATAAACCCCAAATCCACCATATTGCAGTTATTCATGCAATCAAGATAAGCTCTAACACGAGTTTGGGAAATATCATTGCCTCCAAACTTCTCACTTTGATCAATCACGTCATTAAAATCCCCGATAATCATCCAAGGGCCTTGGATGACATTAGCCATGGCAGTTAACTCTTGCCATAAGATATTTCTAATATCAAAAAGTGGTCTACCGTAAATACCTGAGAAAAACCAATTAAAAGGAAATGAAGGGTTATTACTGACCTGGATAGCGGCATGTATTGCTTGATTGCTGGTTGACAGAATGTCCACCGTAAGCCTAGAGTCATCCCACAAGAGCCATAATCCTCCAGCAAGACCATTTGAGTTGACGATACAAGATTTTGGGAAACCAAGAGATTCGGCTACCTCTCGAGCATTTTGTCCAGAAATTTTTGTTTCTAAAATAAGTATCATAGCTGGATTATGAATTCTTTTAAGATCCATAACACCTTTGCGAAAGCCTGCTTTCAGAGCCCCTCGACAATTCCATGAGATAATCTTCATAGTCCAGTCAAGATTATTTGATAGCCCCAATGCTATCTGGGCTCTCAGCGGGTTGAACACCGGCAGTAAGGATTGGAATGTCCATGACAGGTACCTGGCGAGGGGGAAATGATATGGTAAGAAAAGAACTTGGAATTCCCTCTCGGTGCGTGTCTCTAGCGACAATAGAACTTTCAATATCAAATGAATGCGTTCCATTTTCCCCTGTACTTGGACAACCTTCAGGTGGTGCTGGTATGCATAATTTGTCAAAAGTAGGGGCTTGATAAGGCTCCACTCCTTGTCGAGCATTGTGACGTCTCCTGTCGATTCGAGATTCCCGATCTGACATAACTCTTTTGGATCTGGATTTTCCTCGGCTGGGGGGATCAAGTGAGCTATCTCCGGGAGATTCACCTCTATGTCTGTGAGAATGGGGGCTCGCCACACCATGAACAGTTGATCCAGAGACCATTTGGACCCCCTGGGTGATGAGCAATCCAGTATCCACTCCACAGCTGTCTCCATTCGAACAGTCATCTGGTCTTTTACTAGAAACATTTGGGTTTTCCAATCTTGGGGCAGGATCTGGAACAAATCCATGGTTAAAAGAAGGAGAGGTAGAATTTTGTGGGAATAAGATTTGGGAGTCGATTCCAGTGGTGCTGGTGGAGGTACAAGGGATGGGGGTGGTAAGGGTGGTTTGTCCCGACTTAGAGGAGCCGGCAATATGATCAAGGCAAGGGCTAAATGGCCTTAGGGTATCTGGTCCCTGGTTCGGTTTAGAAGCAATCTTTAAACTAGTTTTGGGCTCTTATACGGTGAGAATCTCAGATGGGCCTTGTGCCTTGCTAGGAGCTTTACTAACCCATTGTTGGGTTTTGGGTTCTAGTTTAGAGGAATCCTCTGTTGGGGCTTTGGCTTTGTAAATCTTTTGACCTTGCTTCAAAGGCTGAGCAACATTTAATGCACTGGATACATTACCGTTCAGATGAATTGACAGGGAACTGTTGGTGACCCGTTGAGTCTTGGAAACGGTACTACGAGTTGGAACGGCCGAGTCACGTGTCTCTCTTGATTTGGGATTTGCCGGCATCTTCTCCGGCGCAGACGCCTTCAGAAAAGGTTTTCTCTTGGTTTTACGATGCTCCACCAATAGCCAGGGGCCATAATTGCCTTCATCAAAAGATTGGTCAGCTGTAGGTGTTTGCATACCAGGATTTAAGGTGGCAGAGGAGGTCACGGCCTTAGCAACTGGAGTTGAAGAGTTAAGAGCCTGGGTTGGTTGATGTGCAATATTGGCAGCTTCTTTAGGACTCTCAGAGGTAGTATTAAGTTGTGGGCATTGGTTATTTCTGTGACCTATACGTCCACAATGGAAACACAGAGCATTAACACCTTCATAACTGACCCTCTGTTTCTTCTTTCCAATTCTAACATACTTTGTAACAGGTTGTGCCAGATCAATTTGAACACACACCCTTGCGTATTGGCCTCTAGTATGATGTGCAGTATGGGCATCAACCCTTAGAAGGGGGCCTATCTTATTCCCAATCTTCTGAAGTGTTGTAGGATCATAATAATCTGCTGAAAGATTAGGAAGTCTAGCCCAGACTACCGTAGTGGTAGTAGTGCGAATAGCCTCTTCTGGGTCAAAGTTAGGCTCCCATCTTCTCATAGTGAGGTAATAAGGACCAATAAACCACGGTCCTCCCATGATAACTTTGCTCAAATCCTCATTATCCTGAAAACGAACAAGAAAAAAGTCAAATCCAAGATCAATGAAGTCCCACTTACCATTTGGTTTCCATTGAGCTTGGACTCTAGGAAAAACGTAATTGTAGCCCAGTGGTTTAGGATGGAAGGCTTTGATGATGATAGCGTTCATCCAAGGTTCTCGGATTCTCCGTTTTTCCGCTTTTGATAATAAGACGATAGGGGCGTCATCCTCTGGGTCATCATCAATATCAGATTCTTCATCCATGTAGCTGGGTATGGTATTAAAGGAGAGGATAACTGGGTTTTCCTCCCCCATGAGCTTATCTCTGTAGGAAAGGAAATTTTGTGTTTGACTCGCTGATGTTGTTGTTGGATTTTGTGATTCCACCATTAAAGTGTCCTGAGGAGCTTCGTCGGTGCTCTGGGCATTCATGGCCACATCTATTATGCCAGAACTTAGTGGCCCCCTTCGTGAGTGCTCTGCAGTAGCCTTTGTTTCTGGATCTTTGATTTTCTTGGTACTCCGATCCAGGAGATCGATTTCTTGAACAGATGGAGAATTTTCAAAAAGGGAGAGTTTTTCACGGACGCTCATCGTTTTTTCGGAGAACTTGGATGGTTGGAAATATTTTAACCTAGAAAATCTCTTTAAAGTCGCAAAAGTAGTTGAAAGATTACGTTTTTATTTATGTAATGCCTAGAAAATCTCTTA